AGGCCATTTCTGGCCACCGTCAGTCTCAGGGGCCTCCTTTGGCAACTATAGATAGAAGGGCCTCTTAGATCATCAATCCCAGGGGCTTTCTCTGGCTGGTATGAATAGAAGGGCCTCGCAGACTATTAATTTCAGGGTCGTCTCTTGGTTAGTATGAATAGGAGGGGCTCTCAGACCCTTAAGTTCATGGGCCTCCTCTGCCTTTTATGAATAGTAGGTCCTCTCAAACTACCAGTCTCAATTGCCTCCTCTGGCCAGTGTGAATAGAAGGGTCTCTCAGACCATCAGTCTCATTGGCCTTCTTCCGGCCAGTATAAATATAAGGGCCTGTTAGACCATCAATCCCAGGGGCGCCTTAGGTTAGTATAAATAGAAGAGTCTCTAGACCATTTATCTCAGGGGGCTCCTGTGCAGCTGTGGCTAGTATAAATAAAAGGGTCTCTCTGACCATCAGTCTCAGAGGCCTCTTCTGACTATTGAGGATAGAGGGGCCTCTTCTGACTAGTAAGGGTAGGGGATCCCAGACCACCAATGTCAGGGGCCAATTCTGACTAGTGTGGATGGAGGGGCCTCCCAGACCACCAGTCTCAGGGACCTCCTCTGACTAGTGTGGATAGACGCCAGACGGGCCTCTCAGACCGCCAGTGTCAGGGGCCTCCCCAGACTAGTGTCGATATTGGGGCCTCCTCAGATCCACTAGCGCCTCTCAGGGCATCAGTTCCAGGGGCCTCCGCTGACGAGTATGGATAGAGGGCCTCCTTGGATCAACAAGGGTCCCTTGGACTCTGTGCGTGGGGATTCGTGGAACTTATTTTTACCGAGTTTGTTTATTCTGGAAGGTGACCACGTCCTAGACGAGAGGGCCTCGAGTAAAAAGTGGGTGTGGGGGGGGGGGGCAAAACACATGGTTGGCCCCCAGGGCTTCCTCTGAGATGCTGGGGGGGGGGGCGTGGCCCCCGCAGTGATGCCGCTGGCCCCCCAGTGAAGCTGAAAAGAAAAATAGGTCCTCTCGGCATCACTTATCATTCTGCTAGGGACTTCATGGTGGTGCGCCGCCCCTCATGAAAACTGCGCGGCTTGAATCAGGCATCAGTACACGTTCAGAAACTGAGCCCACCTGTGCAGCCTGGTTGAGTGGCTCTAACCAATCGCTAGCCAGGATGTTGCGCCGGTAATACTTATCACTGATAGTGGTTTTCTGTGGCGTCATGAACAGCTTGAATATTACACAACAGCTGAACATGCTTCAGGTCTAGATTTTGGCCGGATGTTTGACGCCGGGCGACGCCGTTCGAGCTGCTGGCAGCCCACACATGGTCAATTTGACGGTTCAACGGATATCGCAGCTCGAACGGCTTCACATCCGACCAGGCCACCTCATTCATCTCTTCCTTCGACCAGTGGACACGCCCTGGCCTAAGTCCAAAGGTGGTGGACTGGTTGTTTTCCCGTCAATTTCATTGTCTTTTTCAGTTTGAAGGGTAGCAAAACCAAGCTAAAGGGCGGGTAATGGTGAATCATGATGTGGGACCTCTTACTATCTGCCTTGGTAAGAATTTGAGTCTGTTTGCGTTTCCCTGTCGCTATCTTGACAACTCTTCTCACCACTTGGCAAAGGGCGCCTTTTGCGATCGAGGCCGGACTGAGTCTGCCACCAAGTCCCAGTCTGTTACGCCTCAGGCAGATGTGCTACTGGCTGCTGCTGATGTCCAGCTGCTGACAGACCAGCTCCTGGCTCATGCCACCATGCCACCAACACTTAGCCTTACTACGAAACGAGAGACTGTACTCCCTTCTCTCCACTTCCTTGAACGAGAACTATCAAATGAAACCGTTGGCGACTTGACTCTTACTCAGAGCAAGAGTCATTTCGCAAGGTCAGGTCACTGCTGAGTTGAGAGCAGATACCAGAGATATGTCTCATGGAGCTGAGCTGGCGGCCGCCGCGCCGGTACACGCGTACTTGCGCTCGTGACATCCGTGCTGGGGGCACTCGTATGTGAACCGTGGTGGCGTTGTCTCTGTGACCCGGGGGCTACCTGGCCGGCTCGAATACGCGGCGATGGCGGGCAGGGCGCCCGAGTTCGATGCGGTCGTTGAGTGCTTCGGTGCTTATACGCGGCGGTTAAATCAGTAGGTACTTTGTGGCGCAAGATATCGGGAGTGATCAAGAAGCAAAGAAGCGGGCCGTGCTGCTTTGTGCGATCGGCGCAAAAACGTTCGGTCTGCTGGAAGATCTTATCGCTCCAGCCACTGTAAGTGAGAAAACATACGATCAGCTGGTCAGCGTTTTGCAAAGTCCGCATCCGGATAAATCTGAGCCGGATAAATCTGAAATAGTGGCCAGATTCCGGTTTCATTCGTGCTTCAAGAATGACGGTGAGACAGTTGCTAATTTTCTAGCGCGGCTTCGTAAGCTGGTGTAGTAAACAAATGCGCAGAAATGTCTATTCCCAAGCGGGGACCGAGCCGCCACACGCCTCCCACTACGGCCGACTGGCCCCCGGCTCGCCGGCGCCGTGCTCCCCGGCCAGCGGCCCTGAACTCGAGCCGGTCAGCTCTAGTTGCCGGCGCCGGCCGACAGCCACAGCTGTGGGCCACGGCCTGTGCCAGTTCTATCATACACATGCATAACATATAGCATACAATACTAACCACAGCCCCTCCTGATCCTCAAGGATCACTAACGCTAGTATCTGCATGGGGCGTACCCAGTTCTTCATACTGAAGGCGATCAGGTGGCCGCCGCGAGCGGTCACTGCGTCGGACCTCACTCTCACTCACCGTCTCTCCTTCTACCCCCACATCAGGTGATGAACCCTCTCCCCCATCGGCTAACAGTGGCAAATTGACATATTCCACCACGTCATCGGGCGACGAGCCAGGCGAAGTTGCCTCAGACACATCAGGACAGGTACGCAAAACATCACCACATGACCGGAGGTCCCTGACATGCCACGGTACCCCGTCGACTTCCACCACCTGTGGTGATACCGTGGCGGTGACAGCACCGCGTCCAGACTGTTCCGTGCACCGTGACCCGGGCTTCCTGACCCACACGGCGTCCCCAACTCGGTACGATGCGGGCTCGCGTGATAGATCGTCTCGGTCCTCCTCACCGGTTCCACTAGGTGGGCGCACTCGGTCACGCACGGGGTACACATACACTGCGCTCGCAGGTGATGATGACGCCGATACACCATCGCGAGGCGTCACATTATATAAATGAACGGCCTCAGACACGGAGCACTGTTTACGAGCAGCGATGACCTTCACCGAACGGTGGTTTCGCTCCACGATAGAGTTTCCACTCGGTCGGTGAACGGCCCTGAATCGGAGCTGTACGCCCCATCCTGCCGCGAACACAGAGAACTCTCTGCTGCGGAACGCGGTGTCATTGTCTGCCAGAAGTTCGACTGGGGCACCGCGCTCACAAAATATCTCCTCCAGCTGCTCCGTCACACTGGCTGAGTCCGTTCGGCGCAGTGGGCGCCACACACAAAACCGCGACGGACCGCAGTCAATGATTGACAAGTACGACCGGTTTCGGTAGTGCGTAATGTCTATGGCGAGTCTGGTCCAGGTTTCCTTCACCCCCAGTTCCCCGCCACGCCACTTGACGGGTGCCGGGTCCACTGACCGACACACGTCACAGTCTGACACCACCTTTTGCACCTGGCTCCGCGTGATACTCGGCGATATGTCACGACGGGCAAAGTACAGAGTTCGCCGAATACCGGGGTGTCCAGCTTTGGCATGAACCTCGCTGATGGCCGACGACTCGCGCGTGCCGACAGTGTCCTCCACAACACCCGCATCAGCCCCGTGAGCGTCATCTTCTCCCGCATCAGTCACTGGCCCGACCACCGCAGCGGCGACTGCGGGCTCGCCTACACTCGGGTCGTCTCCGCGTACCCACTCGACCGGCACCCGCGTCAGGCAGTCCGCTCTGTTGTGGGCGGTCGGCACCAGGGTCACTGACAGGTCGATGCCGAACTCGTCCACCAGCTGCTTCACCATGTCGATGCGCCGCCTGATGATCATCTCACCGTGGGCCTTGGTCTTCAGACGGGAGCGCCCGCTCAGAGCGTCGCTTATCCATCTGTGCACGGTAGCAGAGTCAGTCCTGAGGTCCAGTCGACGCATTTCCCAGGCGATGGCGAGATTGATGCCCCGCACGGCGGCGTCCAGCTCCGCCATGTTGATGTGCGCTGTCTCGTCACGTCGGAGCCAGCAGCCGTCCTCGATTGGGTCTCCAGTCGGCGTCTCCAGCACCGCTCCTCTGTCCGAGGAGCTCGCGCCGCCGCTGCCAGCGGACCAGCCGCCGCCGCCGCCGCCACCTGAGCTGCTGCCACCGGAGCCGCCGCCGGCCGTTGGTCGCTCAGCACTGAGCGGGCCCGAGCGAGTACATCCTCCAGGCTGAGGCCCTCAGCCCTGGATCCAGCGCGGATAGCTTGTCTGGTGCTGTCGGGTAGTCCAGAGACAAATGCGCAGATGAGCGCCTTGTCTGGCACACCCCCGAAAAGCACCGCTAGCCGCCGTAGATCAGAGAGGAACACATCCGGTGATTCGCCGGTCCGCAGGCGTCGGCAGCAGAAGGCGTCATACGCAGCGAAGCTGTCAATGGCGAACGCCGCATACAGCGTCTCTTGCACTTCCACCAGCGAGCCGCGGCTGGCTGCCGGCATCTGTGACCATACGGTGAATGCCCCGCCTGCCAGCCGCAGCGGTACCACAGACATGAGCGAGACACCACGCAGTTCACAGAGGAGCCTCGCACGCTCCCACCACTCCACCACGTCAGTCGTGCCGTCATATTCAGGCACCAATCGAGTGTCAAACGGTTGGTTCGGTAGCCCTGCGCTGCTGGTCACTGGCCCAGACACCGTCCCCGGTCCATTGTCCGGGCCGCTCCTCTCCGCGTTATCACCCGTCACTGACATGGTCACGCGTCTTAAAGGTCAAAGCCGAAATAGCTTGTAGTAAACAAATGCGCAGAAATGTCTATTCCCAAGCGGGGACCGAGCCGCCACACGCCTCCCACTACGGCCGACTGGCCCCCGGCTCGCCGGCGCCGTGCTCCCCGGCCAGCGGCCCTGAACTCGAGCCGGTCAGCTCTAGTTGCCGGCGCCGGCCGACAGCCACAGCTGTGGGTCACGGCCTGTGCCAGTTCTATCATACACATGCATAACATATAGCATACAATACTAACCACAGCTGGCTAAAGACTGTTCGTTCGCACCTAATGTCCTTAATGAAATGCTGCGTGACCCTTTGGTCTGTGGCATACGGAACGAGTTGCTGCAACCTTGCTTCTTAGTGAGCCGGGGCTGACGCTCCAGTCGGCGGAGCAGCTGGCCCAGGCACACGAGTCGGCGGCAGCGAGTGCGGCTGAGCTCAGCGGCGGTGCTGAGCAGCGAGCAGATGGAGCCTTCGTTCATCGGCTGACTGGTGCCCGGGGTCCGCTGCGGCTGCGTAGCAGTTCTAGGGGTGCCGGTGCTGCCCGCGCTCCTGCCGGCTACAGGGACGGCGGTGGCGGCGCAGCGGACTCCAGAGCTGGTGGTCGGCTGCGCTCTCAGCATGACAGGACGACGCCCGGGCCAGCACGGCGGCGAGCTGTTTCAGGTGCCTGAGGTATCATCAGCCGGACACGTGCCCGTTCATCGATAAGGTGTGCTACAGCTGTGGCCTCAGGGGTCACGTCCGAGCTGCCTGCAGGAAGAACCAGCAGCACCTCCGCCATGTCTCGGCTGATGGCGACGCGTTACAAGGGTCGGACGCGCAGGAGGGTAGCAGAGAGGACGGCACTACGCAAACGAGGAGTTCTAGTCCCGGGACCGGTGAGGAGGTGTACAGCATTTTCACCGTCCGGACCGGCCTCGGTGTCAGGCGACCGCCGCTGATGGTGCCGGTAGCGCTCGACGGTCAGAAGGTCGAGATGGAGCTGGACACCGGGGCGACTCTGTCGGTCTGCTCTGACGCCGGGTTTCGGCAGCTCTGGCCCTGTGGAGGGCCGAAGCTGGAACCGTGTTCGGTGAAGCTGAAGACCTACAGCGGTGAGCAGCTGCCAGTCATGGGGCAGGCTGCAGTGAACGTTCAGTACGGCGGACAGGCTCAGCGACTACCTCTCATCGTAGTCGAAGGTGGCGGGCCCTGGCTGTTCGGCAGGAACTGGCTGGGACACATCAGGCTCGACTGGCCCTCCATCTGTTGAGTGACTGCGGAGACCCGTGTGCAGCCCATCCTGGACGAGTTCGCTGACGTCTTCAAGGAGGAGCTGGGCTGCTATCGAGGCGGGGAAGTCGGCATCGACGTAGACCCGGACGTCCAGCCTCGTTTCTTCAAGCCTCGCACCGTACCGCTGGCCTTCAGGGAAGCTGCGGACGCCGAGCTGGAAGACCAGATCCGTGGCGGACTCTGGGAACAGGTACGGCACAGCAAATGGGTGGCTCCCTTGGTGGTTGTCCCCAAGGCTGGGGGTCAGTCAATACGGGTGTGTGGGGACTACCGCTTGACCGTCAACAGGGCTGCTAAGGCAGAGCAGTATCCCTTGCCGCGTATGGAGTAACTGTACTCAAAACTGTCGGGATGTACCATATTTTCAAAGATCGACTTGAAAAACGCGTATTATCAGCTTCCGCTAGATGAAAAGGCCCGCGAGTATCTCACGGTAGACACCCCGAGGGGTCTTCTTCGACCCCTTCGGTTGACCTTCGCCTATTCGAGTGCAGTGTCGCTGTTCCAACTTCCAGCGGACGCTGGAAACTGTCCTGGCTGGTATCTCTGGTGTTCGGGTCTTCTTGGACGACATTGTAGTCGCGGGTGTCGATGCCGCTGCGCATGACGAGGCCCTCCGGCAGGTTCTTAGACGGCTGGAGGAAGCGGGTTTTAGGGTCAACAAGGCCAAGTGTAGCTTCGGCGTCAGCAGCGTGACCTATCTGGGGCTTAAGATAAGCAGCCGTGGTGTGGAGACCACCGAAGAAAAAACGGCCACGATTGTCCGTGCCCCGGAACCGCGGGATGCTAAGGAACTGCGTAAGTGGCTAGTAGTCAACTACTATGGGAAATTCCTTGAGAACCTGGCGAGTGTCTTGGCTCCGCTCTATCGTCTTCTAAAGGCAGATCAGCTCTGGCAGTGGGCTGAGGCAGAGAAGTCTGCTTTTCGGAAAGCCAAAGAGATGCTAGTTAGCCCTCATGTACTAGCCCATTTTGATCCCGCCCTTCCGGTGGTTCTCGCCTGTGACGCGGGACCGGTCGGCATTGGCTGTGTGTTGAGTCAGCGGACGTCACAGGGCGAGCGACCTGTGGCCTACTATTCGCGCACGTTGAATGACACCGAAACTAAATACTCACAGACTGATAAAGAGGCATTAGCTGTAGTGACCGGCGCTAAGAAATTTCACTATTACCTAGCGGGGCGAACTTTCACTATACAGTCAGATCATAAGCCTCTCATAGGCCTCATAGGAGAGCAGAAACCTTTGCCCGTGATGGCGTCACCTAGGATGGTCCGCTGGGCTCTGATGCTTGGGGCCTACTGAGTACCGGCAAGGATCTAAGCAAGGCCACTGTGACGCGCTTAGCAGGCTGCCTTCGTGCGAGGAGGCTTGTTCGAGCGTTCCAATTCCGGCTGAGACTGTCCATTTACTTGAGTTCATCGACTCATCCCCATTCCCCAGTGAATGTGTCCCAGATACAGCGGTAGACCGCTCTGGATCCCGTGTTGTCAGCGGTACATCGATATGTCAGAGATGGCTGGCCGGATGTCAATAGTGTTTCCCTCAGCCCTGATTTTCAGCCGTACAGGTCCCGTATAGGTGAACTGAGTGTGCAGGATGGCTGTGTTTTGTGGGGGTCACGAGTGGTGGTCCCGCCGCAGGGACGGGGTGCCATGTTAAAGTTATTACATGAAGGTCATGCTGGCGAGTGTAGAACCAAAATGTTGGCTAAAATGTATGTTTGGTGGCCAAAAATCGATGACGACATTCGTGATATCGTGAAGTGTTGTGTGAAGTGTCAGGAACTGAAGGGCAGGGCCCCTGACGCTCCACTGCATCCTTGGCAGTGGCCGACTCGACCTGGCAGCGAGTCCATGTAGACTATTGCTCGGCTAACGGATAGATGTTTCTGGTGATAGTCGACGCCCACTCCAAATGGATGGACGTCTACCCAACTCGTTCCTCCGACTCACTGATCACGATTGAAAAATTACGAGCGTCGTTTGCGTGCTGGGGAGTGCCAACAGTGCTAGTGACAGACTACGCCCAGTGTTTTGTATCACAGCAATCCAAAACGTTTGCAGTGTAAATGGGATCAGGCACTTAACGACACCCAGCCTATCACCCAAATCAAACGGCTTAGCCGAAAGAAGCGTGCAAAGCTTAAAAAAACGGGCTGTACAAACATATCTCGGGGTTCATTGAGACCAAGGTCTCTCGATTTCTGTTTAGGTACCGCACAACACCGCATACTACGACCTCATGTACGCCCGCCGAATTATTTCTGGGTCGTGTGCCACGCACTCATTTAGATGGTGTGCTACCAGATAGGCAGGAGCGTATACGGAGACAGCAGGAGGCTCAAAAGACGTACCGTGATCGGAATGCCCGTGAACGATGTCTGAACCCGGGTGACCCTGTGTATGTGCCTGCAGATTGCAGGGATTGGAGCGTTGTCGGTGGGCGCCCGGTCGTGTAGTTTTCGTAGAGGGAGTTAAGGTCACTGTGGAGCTAAATGACGGAAGGGTGATTGTGCGGCACGCCGACCAGGTTCGTGAGCGATATTCAGCTGTTCCGCATGTCGCTAACGATCCTCTCCGTTCCAGAGTGACACCGATACCTGCTCCTGATCCGGTCACGGAGAGCGCCGCTGCATCTGCACGGCATGCTCCCGTTCCCGGACAACTGGCCTCCACTCCCGACCGGCTGCCGGCTCCTGATCGAGCGCCTGCTCCTGGCCGGCCGCCTGTTCCGGCGCCGCCAGGGCTGACCGGAGCGGTGCCCGCGCCGGGTGTGACCACCGTCCCGCCGTCCGCACCCTCTCCCAGCGCGCCGCGGTACCGGCTGAGAGACCGGTCCACCCTGCGGCCCCCAGACCGATACGTGGCGAGCTATGAGTAGGCGTTTTGTTTCAGTTGTTATTTGTTCTGTGAGGTGCATATTTATTTGTTTGTCCATGCTGTGCAAGTACTCGGGGTGGAGGAGTGTCATGGAGCTGAGCTGGCGGCCGCCGCGCCGGTGCACGCGTACTTGCGCTCGTGACATGCGCTCATGACACTCGTATGTGAACCGTGGTGGCGTTGCCTCTGTGACCCGGGGGCTACCTGGCCGGCTCGAATACAGTTTGGACCAAGACACCGTCTGTGATAATATGCATTCATCCAATTTTCCAGCTTCCACATTAAACAAGAAACTGTGCGAGCAGATATGGCGAAAAAATAGATGTCCGGATAATTTCGTTACACCCTGTATGTTCTAGTGCAAACTAATGCTATGATGCTAGGGGAGTGGCTGCAGGCTGGCGTAGCGCGTGCGGCCTTACGGTGGTTGGGTGAACGTGCCACCTTCTGCTGTGGGGTGGGTGGGGTGGGGGAGGTCCTCCTTGACCCCGTGCCGGCCCCGCCACCTGTGCTGCGCCATCTTTGGGCTGGCGACGGTGTGGAAGCGCGTACCTTCCGTCAGTTTTCCAGGCATCTGAACTCTGAACTCGGCGCTGGCCCTGTCGTCGATGTCTGCGCGTGAGCCGTGACGGGTGCCACAGCCTGCTGGCACCGGCGGGTACGTGCCGTGTACATGTGGTGCGGACTGCGGGACCGACTTGAACCACTCGAAGCCAACGGAGACCAGCCACCCTCATTCGCTCAGATTTATGTGAACGACCCACGAGTCGAAATACTGATGCCGAGGACCGCGCACGCATTGTGGCATCACATAGAGAACACCTATTACATCCGGGAACGACTCCGATCGGCCATTTTCGGGAAATTTACCGTCCGCGGTGAATATTCCTGGGAATATGCTCTGAACGTATCAACCGAATTTGATGTTAGTGCCGGACCCGTGGACTCGGAACTGCGTCACTAATGCCTGTTCATAAATGTAGCGCGGCGTGAGCCATCCATGGACTGCGTGTTTCTTTTTTCCAACCAAAGGTAAGCACTATACCTGAAGATGCTTCTTTGTAACCAAACCAAACAAAAACTAACAACCTAACCTAACCTAACTTGACCTAACCTACAGCCTACAAACCTACAACGCGCCAAAAATTTCAGCCGCCGGCGGGATTCGAACCTCCGGTCCTCTGAACACGGGGCGAGTGCGCTAACCAATCACTTCACCTCGCAGACAGCTGGCCGGATAAAGGTGTTGTAAGTCACTTGACAATGACGCACTGGGATATACTCCGTATAGCGCCTTCCTTTGATTGGAAAAAAGAATTACTTACGCCTGTGGACTAGTCTCTTCAGCTCCGTAGCAGTGTCTCCCAATCTGCGGAAAGTTCAGCTGGTCGCATGATAACCGTGGCGAAGTTTTCTGGCTCTGTTTCAACGGCTCCTTCATATTCCCTTCATATCAGCATAAGCCAGATTTAGGCTAACTTGCAATTAAACGATCAAAAATGTTAGCTTAAGTTTCGTTAGGGTAAATTAAACGGTGTTTTATTTGGTTAGGCTAAGCCCGAAAAACGCGTATTCATGTTTCTTTTTTTTTGTTGAAAAAGCCAAGGGATGAAAAATAAGTGGCCTAAAACCGGTGAGAAAACTAGATTTGGGGGGACCCTAGGTTGATCTCTATTATGGTGTGCTCCCCCAGTCTGAAAGTAGTTCCCGCGCCCCTGACTTTCTCTACGCTATTGAATCACGCTGCTGATTCTAGTAGGTATCTACTACGCAACCTTCTCACATTAATTTTTCTCCAAGCGTTTTGGGGGGGGCCAAAAGATATGTTGGCCCCCCCTTTCAGGCTTTTGGGGGGGGGGGGGCCATGGCCCCGGTGCCCCCCCCCCCCCTGGATCCGCCAGTGCCGTGCGGCCACCACGCCACCGAACGTCACTGACCAGCCCTAAGGTGTCGGCGGTGTGCCTCTTTTCTACGGCCATTTTCCAGCGGCCGGCCGGAGCCAGTCGCTGGAGGCGCTGCTGATTGGTCCGTGCGTAACGCGAGAGCCGCAGAGGCGTCTGCTGATTGGTCTGTGCGTGGCGCGCGTGCCGCAGAGGCGTCTGCTGATTGGTCTGTGCGTGATGCGCGTGCCGCGGTGGTGTCTGCTGATTGGTCTGTGCGTGGCACGCGTGCCACCGGCGCCGTCTACTGATTGGCCAGCTGCCTGGGCTGCGCCGTCTTCTGAGCCCTGTTCAAGTGTCCGCGGCCGCCGCGGCTCCCGCGGCCAAAAAGGCGGAGCTTAGCTGGCGGCCAATCAGGTGAGAGCAGCATTCTGGGTAATGCGTAGCTCTTCCTGCGGCTCCCGCGGTCGCTCGGGAGCGACCGCAAGGAAACTTCGACATAAACTGCGCGCGTGAGACAAAACATTGCGGATTTCGCTCTTTGTTTCGGTTGATTTTATTATGTTGTTAAGGTATAATTGCTTCAAAAAGGTACTAATTGAAGTAATAAAGCCATTATAAAGCAATTACGCACAACATTTTGATCAGCATCTCCTTTCAAAACAACCGTGCCATTCTCGTCGCCGGCCGCAGCGGCCGCAGCCGCAAGGGTGTTCAACCTAACCGAAATTAGGCTCCGCCTCCCGGCCGCGGGAGCCGCGGCGACCGCAGAGCACTTGAACAGGGCTCTGGCCGCCTTGGCCGGGACGCTCCACCTCCTGGTCAGTGGACGCGGCGCCGGCCGAGCGTAGCCGCAGGACCAGTGGCGGCTTCTGGTCCTATCTGTCCGTATAGTTCTGAGACATCAATCCGTGATTTTGTTCGAAAAATCACACTTCTTTGTTTGTAAGAATTACTTTTTACTACAACAATAGAGTAATTTTCGCATCATTGATTTTCGCTGATGATAGGTAGTCGGGGAGAAAATTCCATGAATTTATTATTTTTTATCTTTATTCTCATAGCTATGCTCTTTGCGAGGACGCTAAGAAGAATACGTAACTAATAAATTGGCGTTCATGAAATGCATACGGCTGTTCAGTGTCGAAATAGCAGCAATACAAATATATGCACCAAAGGTGGATAATTGTCATAATCCTAAGGGGGGTGCTTTTCCAACAACTGGTGAGTGGCTGTGTCAAATCATTGTGCAGTAAAGCACATATAAGCACACTTTCCAACAGCATCACTATCCTCGCGACGCCTTGAATTTCACGGGGTGCTCGAGCACCCTCAAAACACCTTATTCTCCACCCCGATATGCACAGATAATATCTGTGCATATTATGCCTTTTATTCATATGACTTCTATGGAAAGGCAAGGCCTAAGAGGCTGCATTTCATTGTTCTTGGGAGTTGAGGACACATCCATATGACAACAAATCGATTATTACATAAGCATAGACGTGCTTCAAATTGCAGTCTCATACCAAAACTGTGATGTGTATCGTTATGCCACAGGCGATACAGTGGGCATGTCAACTACAATCAGACGTAGCCCGTGAGTCCATCTCCCGCTCGCTAAGCCTGTTGTATGTGAGTGAGTGGTCAGTACGGGGAGGCCGATGGCACGCCGCCGCCGGCCCGGCCTGACCAGTGCAGCGTCTGGCTATCGTCGAGCCGTGCACGGTGTGTTCCGTTTCCGGCGGGCTGAGTCCCTCGGCCGGGCCGGGCCGGCCGTGGCGCGTCTCGCTGTGGCCGTCTGTCCGATCGGCCGCGTCCCCCTCACCGACCCCTCCGGCCGAGACGGGTCCGTCTGGCGAGACGTTCGGAGCGGTGTGTCCATGTGGAGTGAATGCACTGCTAGCCACTGCAGCTGTTTGGTGCCCGGCTGCCGGAATAGAGTGTCGGAGCGGCGGCAGAGGAGTGACGGCAGCTGTTTGTGGTGGATTCTGACGGAGCTGACCACCGGCACAGTAAGACTGCAGCGGCACCAGCCACGGGGAGGGGGCTGCAGCTGGGAGTGTCACCGGACCGCTCTCCGTGCCGGCAGCTGACACTGACCGGTGGCCGGTCTGACACTGTCAGGGACTGCAGTGTCAGTGTGTCAGTTCAGCTGACAGTCGGAGCACCAGCAGCTGGACACAGCTGACACTGTATATATATAAATAGACCACTGTCACTCGGACACTGACACGGACTGGGACGGCACGACGGTGTGACGTCACACTGGCCTCCAACACGGCCTCCAACAGCTGCACCCGGCTGTGGGCACGGACACACCGGCTGCAGCCAGTAACGCTCGCCGCTGTGCTGGAGCCGCCCGCTGGCCACAGCAGCGACGGGGGCTGACAATCGTCCCGCACTGCAACGGAAAGGCCACACGACGGCAACGGGGGTGACTGCTGTGGTGGGATTTTCCGATAAATACGGGAATGGTTGTGAGCTCGGTATTATTTTGTGTGTATTTGACGAGAGGTGACCGGTTGATTTTGTGAGTGCGTTGATGGACAGACGAGGGTGATTAGTTGATTTTGTGAGTGCGTTGATGGACAGGCGAGGGTGATTAGTTGATTTTGTGAGTGTGTTGATGGACAGGCGGGGGTGATTAGTTGATTTTGTCAGTGCGTTGATGGACAGTCGAGTGCCCGTGGTTGACAGCGAGACAAGCCGGCTGCTGGATGTGCTGTGACAGTGTGTCGGTGCTTGTTGTCGGTGTCGGGTGGTGCAGCTGGCGGCGGCCCGCTGCCATACGGGAGCGGTCGGTCGGCAGGCCGCTCGGCGGCTCGTCCAGCCGGTAGTTGGTGTCAGATCTCTGAGGCCGGTGGGTCAGAGCCGGTGAGCCCGGTCAGGGCACGGCCGGAGCACGGCCACGGCCCCGGCGGCGGCACGGCGTGCTTGTCAGTGGGCCGGCCGTGACCTGGCGGTGACCGGTCGGTCTGTCTGCCGACCGACCACCGGTCGAGCCCCGACCGACCACTGGGACGGCACCGGTGGATGATCAGGGGGCGGGCGGGACATTTGAGACTATTGATCAATGGAAGACCATCGTTATTCGTTCGTGACTGCTGATTACATAGTTCAGAGCGTATGTTGTGTATGTTTCTCGATAAACAGGTGTGTGTGTTGTATGGGAGTGAGTGGTCAGTACGGGGAGGCCGGCTGGCCGGCGGCCGATGGCACGCCGCCGCCGGCCCGGCCTGACCACTGTAGCGTACTGGGAGCAGCGAGGTCTGAGGCTGTCACCTCGGCGCCGCGGGCAGCGTCGGCCGGCCGCCGCCTGCCCTGTCCTCTCCGGTGTGGACGG